GTTTTAATATGGAATTTTGAGTTAGGCCTTTAAAAAAATTTGGCAGCCAAATTCTGAAAAATGCCCGGCAAATTTCAGAATTTGGCCGCCAAATTTTTTTAAAGGCCTAACTCAAAATTCCATATTAAAACTTCATTCATTCAAAAATATTGACATTTGACCAATTTATGGGCCAAAATCGACCAAATTTGGTGCATATGCCCAAATATGGGCATATGGTTTTTGGCTCATAACTCAGTCATTTTTTGTCCAATCTTGATGAAAATTCATATACGAGTTCAGGGGACCACTAGCTACAAGTAAAGCACCTGAAATCTGGGTTTTGGGCATTTTCAGGGTATTTGGCTAGATTGGGTCTAATTTGGACCAAATATGGGCGTGGCTGCCCCGCGGGCACCGTTTGGCGGTTGGGGTCCGGGACCCCCTCAAAAGTTCGGTCACCAGTCCTAGTTTGTTGGTCAACTGCCATCTCGAAACCAAGTTTCACAAAAAAATGAGGGTGAACCCCCCCCCCCCCCCCCCCCTTGAAATAATATTGTTCAAAGCGGCTTGCAAATCATTACTAGTGTGCGAATCACAAACCTGATGAACAATACCGTGACACAACAAAATTTGCGACTATCTGTATATTAACTCATAATTTTTTCAGTGTTGATCCTGAAAATAAACGTGAGATGAGAGACCTTGTCTCAAGTGTTATTGATGGGATGCTTCTTCCACGGTAAGTAAAATAAACTAAATAACAAAAGTAGATAGATAAAGTGAATATTTAACAAGTTAACACGTTAACACAAAGGTTAATTGATAAAATTAACAATCACCATGTAAACGTGCGATGTCATGAAAGCCCTGAACAACCCCCTCCTTCATGAAGAGCTAGCTAAAGTGTTCAACGAGTCTTTCGAGAAAAACATTCACATTGAAGCAATAAGAGCAGGCATTCTTACACCACTGGCTAAGCCTGGTAAAACTCGCGGCCCAGTTAAGTCGATACGACCATTGACCCTGCTGAATGTTTCTAGCAAGATCCTGTCACTGATAGTGCTAAACAGAATAGAGAGAGCTGTGGACAACTTCACCGGACCGTTCCAAGCTGCCTACAAAGCTGGCAAGAGCTGTGCCGACCTAGTTTGGGCACAGAGCATGCTCATATCTGTATTAATGAAAGATTGTACTTCTGAATGGTTGAAATTTAACTTATGATAAGTAAAACTCATCTTCACCCTCTGATAAATGTTTATTTAGATTTTCAAATAATCACAGCTAGTTACGTCATTGTTTCACTGTCTAATACAGTAATAAGGTTTTTGTTATTGTAACACTTCTGTGGACACAGACTCACTGATCCCCCGTGTTCCTGCATTCATGCAATGGCGCCAATTCCAATGTCCAAACTGTGTAGATGGGGGCGTAATACCTATTCGCCCTTCATTTCAAAAAGTTTGTAAATTTCGATAATTCTCGCTATTTTCACCATCTAGAATCTAGATGTACAATTCTTCAATTTTGCCATGGCGAAGAATAGCGACGTTCTAGCTATATTCTTCCGTTTTTGAAAGGATGGGCAAATGTGATGGGACACCCCCCACATCTGGTAAGTGCGTATTGACAAAGATCTTATGTACTTATAAACAATGTAGTGTTTAAAACTTAAAATTTATTTGATCCTCTTATACAAAGAACATAAGAATGTTATGATGTGTTTAAATACTCCACCACCATCAGAGATAATGTTATATCGAAGCCCGAGTGGCATTAAATTCACTGAATTTCAATATTCTATCATTTTGCTGCGTATGGTATGCCCATCTTCTTATTTATTGAGTGTGAAGTTGCTGATGATCTGGAATTAATTATCAGTATAAACTTTCAATACCTGAAGTTCAATGATTTCAAGTTCTGGAATATCTAAATTCAGCTTCAGTTCAGATTTAAATTTGTAGTTTCTATTTAATTTCTGCAACTTATATACTTTTCTGACTAGATCCAAATTGCCCATTACTTCGGGGGGAATGCAACGTCAATTAATGTCAGTATTCCATGAAAACCCCAAACTGACATTGACATTAATTGACATTAATTGACATTAATTGACATTAATTGACATTAATTGACATTAATTGACATTAATTGACATTAATTGACATTAATTGACATTAATTGACATTAATTGACATTAATTGACATTAATTGACATTAATTTGTCTTGAAATTTGAGATTATCATTATTCGATAAATATTCAAGATATTCACGGCTATGTAAGTTAGACCGGTTCAAAAAAACAAAATGTCCTTGAATAATTATGAGTATGTTCTTATCTGTTGATCCTTAGGTTTAAAGAGTACCAAAAAAATTTCAGCTTCCAACTCTTCCATCTTCGGTCCCCACCGGCCACACCCATATTTTATTGGTTTCTTATACAGTTAAAATATCTAGAATCGGCTTTTTTAGTATGAAGGAGTAATGTTAGCTGTTTAAGATTCGTTATTCAAATATAAATGTCATGAAGGCATTTCGTTTAATGTGGGTTTTAAGTTCTGATGATGTTGAGAACCACGCCCTTGGATGGCCACGCCCATTTAAGAAAATTAAATTTCGGAAAACCGTATTATTTTAGTTTTATTGTTTAATGATCTGAATTTCTTTCACATTTCACATTTCCATATGTGATAGTACAGTGAATAAATTGATGATATAAACGTTCTAAAGTGCTAAAAATATGGTAGAACTACATAATCTCTGGTCGAAAAATATCGTGTCAATTAATGTCAGTATTCCAAAATTTTGCAAAACTGACATTGACATTAATTGACATTAATTGACATTAATTGACATTAATTGACATTAATTGACGTTGCATTCCCCCCATTACTTCGCGTGCTGACCTTATGTGACATCGGATAACACATTATTTAAATCCTTGTATAATAACTATTCAGTAATGAATTTTAATCCGATATTTCTCTTTTTCATATACTATCCAGATCCAGTGAAATGCAGCCTGATTAAATTAAATAAATTAAAAACAATCAACAATTCAAATTATACAAAATCGTTGATTAACGAGCATATTCCTTTTGATACAATCATCTCAAGTAACATTATTTTGCAGGATGGATGTTCCACTTGAAGAAGAACACCCCGCCAAGCGAAGATGTTTACCTGTTCATAACTCAGCATACTACGACACTTCAGATTCTTCCGCTGCAGATGATACATTACCCACTATCCTTGCTTTGAATGACGAATGTTTGGATATCATTCTCTCCTTTTTCGGGATTCGTGAATATTTTCGGATGAGCATTACCTGTAAAAGATGGTACAATCTTTGCTTATCGAGAATATCAAGAACTAAACGGCTGCGTACCACAGCCTTATGTGACAGTCCGTTATATTTAAAAAATATTAGAGTAGTCAGTGTGGAGAGGATGCTGTCAGTGTTATCCCTAAACAACGGAGCTTTGACTTCTTTATCACTGTTCGGAATTAAAAACTTGACAGCTTCACTCTTTTCTGTTATGGCAGATTTGATGCCTAACTTGACTAAGTTATACATTGGAAAGACCTTTGCTCTTACTCCACGTTTGGCTAAAGTTATTGGAGAAAAATTTTGTCCCAACTTGGAAAGCCTCTCATGGGATGCTACCAACAAATATTTTACGAGCAAAGAGGTTCAATACATGCTAAGTTTTACCAGGAAGCTGAAATCGTTTGTTATCACAGCTACTGCTAATTATGCGAACAGGGGTCCTTCTTTATGCATCGGGGAATCTCTTTCCTCCATCAATCCGCTGTCTTCATTTACATGCCATGAATTCGCCAGCCTGCAACCTTGTTGTACCGAATACATTTTGAGGAATTTTTCTTCCACATTGCAACATCTGAATGTTTCTGAAGCAAACCTTGATGTTCTCAACATCAATACGAACTCATTAACCCCTTTTGAGAACATGAATACATTTTTAGTTGCTCGGAAGAATGATCCTGAGGATCATCCTCCCTTTCCTTTCAAATGTATCAAACAGCTAATTTCTATTTTGAAGCTGTCTCCTAATGTTGTAAAACTAGATCTTTCCCGACAACTTAATTTTCAAACGAACGATGACGTGTTCGTTGATGTTTTATCACTTCACTGCCTTTTCTTAGAAGAGCTGAATTTATCCGAATGTAGGATTTCTTCAGAGCACCTCATCAAGCTAAATAAGCTTACCAACCTCAAGAAGCTCATTCTTGACAATAATGACTGTACAGGGTGCGTAAGAATGAACCATGACTACGATATAGTTAGCTGTTTCAAAATAATAGCTGCTCAAGTGTTGCCACTCCTTGATAAACTAGCGTATCTGTCCATGACAGATAAAAGAAACGTTCTCCCTGCAGACGATATTGTGCTGTTTATGAAGAACACCAGTCCCAACTTCAAAGAACTGAGAATATCAACTCTAGCCGGTGATATCACCTTATCTCCTGACAGTAAAGAACTCAACAACTCCTTCCACAATTTCATCGAGGAAGCTTTAGAAAAGTGTCAAGGTCTTAACAAAGGGGAATACTCAATTAAGTTGTTTGTGGACGGACTGTTTTCTTTACACAGAAACTCCTGCAAAAAGAATGACCGAAACTGCTCATGTTCCAGAGATTATCCACTTTTTTACGAAGAAGTTGCTCCAAAGTTTCTCCAAGTTGTAGGATCTGGTGACCAGATCCGGTCACTATCCTGGTTTAAATAGAGTAATTTACACTTTCAAAACTTTGTTTCATATTCATCAATCATATTATATTATTATTATTAATGTTGATTAAATTTCTTTCAATTCCCCTAAGTATTCGTTTTTAGATCCTCACGATTAATTAATTAATTTTTACAATTTTTGATAAACGTGATTTTTGTGTTTAAATTTATAACTTTTAGGATGCAATAATTTATTTATAAATACTAATACTAAATACTATAAATACTAAATACTATAAATACTAATCACACAAATTATGTTGCTTTATTTGTCAGGAATGACATGGCATTCAACAGATCCAGAAAAGTTTGCTCTAGTTACAGGCCTGTGTGTTATCTTCCTCGGTAAGACCATTTACGACCTAACCACCAGAGTAAAATATACAAAATTTATAGAACTATGTCAACGTTTTAAAATCTGGACCGATTTACGAAAAAAATTATAAGCGCAAAGGGACCTGGTTGCTCCTTTATGAATTAACTAAAGCCGTACCAATGTTTCGTGAACACCATGTAAGTTATATCAACTATTAATGCCAATAACCTCCCAGGTATCACTGGAATAGTCCTCAACCTCAGTACTCTCCTCTTCTTAATACCAATATCCTCCCGGGTATCACTGGACTAGTCCTCAACCTCAGTACTCTCCTCTTCTTCCTCAAATACAACCACCGAGGAGAGAAGCACCGGAAGAGGTTCAGAAACCGTTCTAGTTAACATGAGTGTAGTTGACATCCTCCTCTCCCTAGCTGCTGCTACTATCAGAGGACCTGGCTTCATCTGGCCCAGTGTTATCTACGGGGAGGCTACTACCCTAGGTACAGGCACTGTCAGATGCACTTTCTTCAGTGTCATCTCCTCCTGGCTCCTTAGTGATCTCAACACCTTGGCTATCATCCCTATATCCTGCATCTGTGTCTTCCTCCCTTCTGAAAAGCAGATGAGAGGGATTATAGCAGCTGTCTGGTGTCTTCCTCTGATTGAGCTTATCCTCCTCATCGTAGGAATAGAGGGAGGGTACTTGAACTCTCACTACACCACCAGTTACCACAAGTGTTCTATTCATCTGGCTGATGGGAAGATGTTCAACTGGGAGAACTTGGTGGACTACTTCAACATGATCATCTTCAATATCTTGCCTCTACTTATACATGTTGGTATCTGGAGTGCGCTGTGTTTTAAGGAACCTCGCATGACACGTGGTAAGCGTCTTTCTGGAGCGCTGGTTGTGACTACTGCTCTGGTAACCTGGTTACCTTATGGGATAGTCCATGGTATCTTACGCTACGATACTTCTGAAGAAAAGTCACTTGTGTACATATTCTTCTACCTTTCTATCGTTACTAATCCTATTATTTACGGGTTCCTGATGTACAAATGTGATATTTTCCGGGAAGGTTGCTCAGATTGCTGCTGTGGTGAAGATTCTGAGGCTCAGCCGAGTTATTCAGAGCCAGCTAGAGTTGTGGAGCCTAAATCATTCACTGATATCGTCAGTGCGACTCACTCCATGACGGACACTGTTACTAGCCCTCTGTGTCAGGGCAGAGTTGCTATTATGGGATCCTCATCTTCTGCTGTTGTTGCTGACAATTCCTCCCCTCCGAATACAGCTAGTGCAACAACCACCAAGGTGAAACCTGATAAGCTAAATGTTTAGCAAAAGATTAAATAAACCATGTGCAAGAAAAACTGAAGATAAAAAGGTCCAGTTGTTAAATTTACATTTAAAATAATTAACTCTTTTTTAGCATGAAATAAATCTTGTACTTAGTTTTATCTAATTTTAAACTGTTAATAAGTTCTTAATTAGCTAGATATTTTACAAGTTTGGGGATATTATCGTATTTTAGACATTTTAATTTCATTTATTTCCTGTGATTAATTTGTTCATATTTTATTTGTAATCTATTCTAATTACTGAATGTTTGCATTTTACTTACTATTCTAACTTTTAAGTGATAATTTGTTGGGGTTTAAAAAGTATCCAGGGGGGGGGGGGGGGGGGGGGGGGGGCAATGGCCTAAATGGAGAAAATGGAGAATTACTCATAGGTTTTTCCATTTTCTCCATAGAAATAGTCTCCATTTTATGCCATTTTATGCCATTGAAAACCTGAACAATTTAGAATTTCGAGAAAAATTATCTAAAAAAAAGATATTTTCGGCCAATAATGAACAGAGTATCATGAAACATTATGATACATGGAGAAAAGTGGTTTTCAGAAAAACTTTGAAAAATGTTGACTTAGAAAAGGGGAGGCAAAGGGGAGGCCATTGCGATCTCGGAAGGCAGGCCTCAGGCCTGCCTTCCGAGATCGCATTACCTCGAGTCCAAAATTGTGTATCGAGGGGAAGGTGTGGACTTCGAAAAACCGAAAAAATATTTTCGGCAAATAATGAACAGGGTAGCATGAAACGTGGAGAAAAGCGGTTTTCAGAAAAAATTTGAAAAATGCTGACTTAAAAAATGTTCGGTCCGAGTCATTTTCGATACGTACCTCCCGTATCGAGAGCTCCCGATTCCGAGCTCGTGTTGCAAAGGGGAGGCCTGCCTTCCGAGATCGCATTACCTCGAGTCCAAAATTGTGTATCGAGGGGAAGGTGTGAACTTCGAAAAACCGAAAAAATATTTTCGGCAAATAATGAACAGGGTAGCATGAAACGTGGAGAAAAGCGGATTCAGAAAAAATTTGAAAAATGCTGACTTAGAAAAATGTTCGGTCCGAGTCATTTTCGATACGTACCTCCCGTATCGAGAGCTCCCGATTCCGAGCTCGTGTTGCAAAGGGGAGGCCTGCCTTCCGAGATCGCATTACTTCGAGTCCAAAATTGTGTATCGAGGGGAAGGTGTGGACTTCGAAAAACCGAAAAAATATTTTCGGCCAATAATGAACAGAGTATCATGAAACATGGAGAAAAGTGGTTTTCAGAAAAACTTTGAAAAATGTTGACTTAGAAAATGTTCGGTCCGAGTCATTTTCGAAATACACTCTCACTCAGTCGAAATACACTCTCACTGCCGTTTTAAAATTGTTAGCTCTCGTTATCGCACTGCTTATCTCTTGATAATTGCACCGCTACTGCGCTGCTAGCTTGTTGTGCTGATCTTTACGATGGCAGATTTGGACTTGGAAAGTATCAATTACATGTGGAATGAGATGTTCACCTGGAGCAAAGAGACTCTGAAGAAATTTGGCAAGCCGTACGGAAAGTTAAAGGACATTGCGGACGCTAAGAACTTCAACAGACTGAATAAGCCGGAGATTGTCAATGTGTGTGGTCGATCTTTTGAGTATACGAACTATCTTATGGAGACCGTTGAAACGTATAAGAATGTGTTGACCAGACTTCAGGGTCAGTTAATTGTGAAGCAAGAGCAGGTTATCAGTGTTCAGGCCGAGCTATCAGCTGCAAGACTAAGCAACTTGAAGCGATGAAGAAAACTGTGTCAAGTTCAGTTGCTGATTCAGTGAAAGCGGAGTTCCAATCTTACAGCTCTGTCGTTCAAAGTTGGCCAGCACAGTCTCCAGTAATCAGCCCGGAAGCATTGACGTCTGTAGTCGAGACTATTGTTGCAGAGGAGGACCGCAGCAGGAACCTTCTTATCTTCGGTCTGCCTGAGGAAAAAGAAGAGAAGCTCGAATCTCAAGTCAGTGAAGTTCTGGAAACTATTGGCATAAAGCCAAAAGTAGAGGCTCAGAGAATAGGAAAAAAGAAAACGGTTGACTCAACGCGACCAGTTAAAGTTATCACCTCAAACTCGCTCATCGTTGATCAGATTCTGAGGAATGCCAGGAACCTGCGGCAGAGTGAGAAGTTTAAGACAGTTTTCTTGAGCCCTGATCGGTCTGTCGAACAGAGGAAGCTCAGGAAAGATCTGGTACAGGACATGAAGAAGCGGGCACTTGCAGAACCGACCAAAAAGTTTTACATAAAGGACGGGCAAATTTATTGTGCCGATGAGAGCAACGGTTGACAACTTTTTTTGAGTGTGTGTTTCGTGTGCTGTTTTGATATGTTTTGGACCATGTTTGTGAGGGACATATTGGTAGCTGTAGTTATTTTCTATACAAGACTGAATAGTCTTCAGGCTTTAGCTGAGCTTTAATTTCCGACGCAGTTTTGTTGAGCCACTAGTCCATGATGGGGAATATAAACAATATATTTAACTCTTAATGGTCATAGCTACTTTTAATTTCATGAATCATACAGATTTTAAAGTACGCTGGTACGATTTTTATCTTATTAAATTGCTGTTCAATATCTATTTTAGTAAACATTAACTGGGGTAGTAAAACCCAGTTCCCAATCAATCAATCAATCGATACGTACCTCCCGTATCGAGAGCTCCCGATTCCGAGCTCGTGTTGCAAAGGGGAGGCCTGCCTTCCGAGATCGCATTACTTCGAGTCCAAAATTGTGTATCGAGGGGAAGGTGTGGACTTCGAAAAACCGAACAAATATTTTCGGCAAATAATGAACAGAGTAGCATGAAACGTGGAGAAAAGCGGTTTTCAGACAAAATTTGAAAAATTTTGACCGAAAAAATATTTTCGGCTTATAATGAACAAGATAGCATGAAACGTGGAGAAAAGTGTTTTTCAGAAAAACTTTGAAAAATTTTGACTTAGAAAATTACCCCTCGGTACACAATTTTGGACTCGAGGCTTCCCCCTGGTAATGCGATCTCGGTAGGCAGGCCTCCCCTTTGCAACACGAGCTCGGAATCGGGAGCTCTCGATACGAGAGGTACGTATCGAGAATGACTCGGGCCGAAAATTTTCCAAGTCAAAATTTTTCAAAGTTTTTCTAAAAACCACTTTTCTCCACGTTTCATGCTACCCTCTTCATTATTAGCCGAAAATATTTTTTTTTGGTTTTTCGGTTTATCGAAGTCTGCACCTACCCCTCGATACACAAATTTGGACTCGAGGCTTCCCCCTGGTAATGCGATCTCGGAAGGCAGGCCTCCCCTTTGCAGTGCGAGCTTGTTTCGACTGTCGAGGATGTAGGTCTCACTTCTCAGTGCCTATTACTCTCCCCTATTACTCACTCCTGCTGAAGCCTGTAGAAATAACTTTACACTAGGCTTGAGTAATTAGGAGTTTGCCTGAAGTGTGCCTCTACTAACCTAGTATAAGCATCAAGTAGCCTACTATGAGCTTTCATAAGCTTGTTACGCCCCTAGTAATCGTAAATAAACATGTTAGGATGTCCAATTTAGGTGTTAAATGGTGTTAAAGATGAAATTTCGAAGACAAAATTCATGGCATAAAATGGAGAAAATGGAGAATTACTCATGGGTTTTTCCATTTTCTCCATAGAAAAAGTCTCCATTTTATGCCATTTTATGTCATTTTATGCCATTTTATGCCATTGGCCCCCCCCCCCAGTATCCAGTATTGTATGTTAGTTTATTTATCTTGAATGTTTTCTCTGTTATATATATAATACTTATTGTGTATTTTTTCTTTGATTTACTGAGTTTTATCGAATACATTGTACTACACTCATATCATATTATGTTTATTGTTTATACCATAATATGGGGTAGTACTATACTTATTTATATAGGTATATTATATTTATACAGCTAAAAAATATAATATAATATTTATACAGTTAACAACTGTAAAATCACGTTCTCTTACCAGCGATGGTAGTGGTGGTAGTAGGAGAGCCAGATAATGATGCAGAACATGACTTGTATACTCTTGTCACAGGGATTTGTGTCATCTTTCTTGGTGAGTTCAGTTGCTAGTCAAACTAGATACTAAAATGAACATTTTATGGAAATTGTTAACTCAAAATGGACCGTATTAACTAAGAACTTAATCTTTAGTTGAAACTGTAAGGTTTACTTCTTACTGGAAATATATAGAAGATTTTGATTTCAGGTGTGGTTGGGTTGTTCCTGAACTCAAACACTCTAGCCTTCTTCCTCAAATACAACCACAGAGGAGAGGCCCACCGTAAGAGGTTCAAGACAGTTCTAGTTAACATGAGTGTTGTTGACATCCTCCTCTCCCTAGCTGCTGCTACTATCAGAGGACCTGGCTTCATCTGGCCAAGTGTTATCTACGGTGAGGCTACTTCGTCTGATGTGGGTACTGTAAGGTGCAAAGTCCTCAGTATCATCTCCTCCTGGCTCCTCAGTGATCTGAACATGTTGGCTATCATACCTATATCCTGCATCTGTGTCTTCCTCCCTACTAACAGAGTGTTGAGAGTGATCATTGCTATCTGCTGGGTCCTCCCTATCATAGAGGCAATACTTCTTATTGTAGGGATAGAGGAGCACTACCTCGACTCTAGATACACTGACACGTACCGTAAGTGTTCTATCCACAATGCTGCAGAAACCTCTTTTAACTGGGAAGGACTGGTTGATTACTTCAACATGGTCATCTTCAGCATCCTGCCTCTCTTCATCCACTCTGGTATCTGGATCTCTCTCTGCTGTAAGGAACCTCGTATGTCACGTGGTAAGCGTCTTTCTGGAGCACTGGTTGTAACTACTGCTCTGGTAACCTGGTTACCTTATGGGATCATCTACGGTATCTTAAGATACACTCCCTCTGGACCCAAAGCACTTGTGTACATATTCTTCTACCTTTCTATCGTTACTAATCCTATAATCTACGGGTTCCTGATGTACAAATGTGATATTTTCCGGGAAGGTTGCTCAGATTGCTGCTGTGGTGAAGATTCTGATGCTCAGCCGAGTTATTCAGAGCCAGCTAGAGTTGTGGAGCCTAAATCGTTCACTGATATCGTCAGTGGCACTACCACCATGACAGACTCAGTAACTAGAGACGGAGGTCTTCCTCAGTTCCAGGATAGAGTGGCTATTGTGGGGAACTCATCTTCTACTTGATTGTTTTGTTATTATATTCAGAAGACAGACCTTAATGCAAATATTTATATTTTTAGCTCCCCTTGAAGCTACCCTTAGATTAGATAGTTTGATTAAATGCTTTATTATTTTGTTGATTCGATTTACGTTATTTTTCATATTTTTTAATTTCTTATTTGAAAATTCAGTTAATTATTACATAGTACATAAATCAAGCGTTACATTTCAGCCATGCAAGATTATTAAGATTACAAAATTATTAATTGATAAGTTCTAGAGACTATTGTCATTAATTGATCTCTCTGATAATTTAACATTTTTTTAACTAAACAACTTCCGCATCGCATCAAAACATAAATTGTAACTTTGGCCAATGAAGCAGTAATGTTGCATATGAAAAAAACCGTTCATAAAAAGTTTTTGATTAGATTTAACAGTATTATGTCTTCTAGTTTCAATAAGTTAAAGATTTTTTGTCAATGGAGGATTAAGTTGTGATACATTCATTTTAAAGCCTATAACTATTCTTTATTTTTAATAAATTTTTCATAAAATTTAAAAAAAATACAAGCTGCATCACTGAACAGTCGTTATGAGATGAGTATCAGATTTTAAATTATTATATATGAAACATTTTGATTTATCAATTAAGCTATTATTTTTTGTTAAAGAAGGCAACTATGTGTAGTCATTTGAATTGTTGAATTATAGTTCTCCAAACTATGTAAGCCATAAATTGTAATTTGCTTATTTATGTAAAGTACATTGAATTTGGGAATTAATAAGCCACCATGTTCCCTGATTTTATCTAAACTTCGACTATAATATAATGCATGAAAGTTATAGTCAAAATTAAACTGAAATAATTTATTTAAAAGGTGTTCTGCAGACCAGAGCTGAGAATGACTGCAACTGTTGTTGTTGTGGGATCTTGTATGACTGATCTGATCAGTTACGTCCCAGTTCTACCAAAGGGCGGAGAAACTGTCCATGGAACTAAGTTCATGGTGGGTTTTGGCGGGAAAGGAGCCAACCAAGCTGTAATGGCTGCAAAACTAGGTGCAAAGACGGCTCTTGTAGCCAAGTTGGGTACAGACACATTCGGAGATAATTACATAGAGAATTTGAAGAATGTCGGAGTAGACATCACCCACGTTGGGAGGGTGGAGTATGCAGCTTCTGGTGTGGCTACCATTACAGTGGACAATCAGGCTGAGAACTGTATTGTTATAGTCGGAGGAGCAAACAACGAGCTTGATGACGAGGCTGTTAATCAAGCCAAGAGTCTTCTGGCAAGCAGCAAAGTTGTGGTGTTCCAACAGGAAATACCTTTATCCACCAACTTGACTGCTCTGAAGCTTATCAAGAGTTTAAACAAGGACATTACCACTATCTACAACGCTGCCCCGGCAACTGATAGCCTCCCTGACGAACTGTACAAGCTAGTTGATATCTTCTGTGTTAACGAATCTGAGGCAGAGAAGCTCCTTGGATTAGATTCTGTTAACTCAGTGGAAGAGGCTTCTAATGCAGCGGGTCTGTTAAGAAAGAAAGGTTGCAAGATGGGAATGGTAACTCTTGGAGCCAATGGTGTGATTTATCAAGACGGCTCTGGTGAAAATGTCCATGTTCCCTGTCCGAAGGTTAAAGCTGTTGATACCACTGGTGCTGGGGATGCTTTTATCGGATCACTTGCTTGTCTGTTGGCTGACGAGTCGTTAAAAGGAAGGTCATTTCAAAGGAAGGTTGATTTTGCTTGTAGTGTTGCTTCTCAGAGTGTCACTAAGCTAGGTACTCAGAGTTCTTATCCTACTTCATACTAACTTCAAGCTTATCCTACTTCATACTAACAGTGCTTCAAGCTTATCCTACTTCATACTAACAGTGCTTCAAGCTTATCCTACTTCATACTAACAGTGCTTCAAGCTTATCCTACTTCATACTAACTTACTAACAGTGCTTCAAGCTTATCCTACTTCATACTAACAGTGCTCTAAGCTTATCCTACTTCATACTAACTTACTAACAGTGCTTTAAGCTTATCCTACTTCATACTAACAGTGCTCTAAGCTTATCCTACTTCATACTAACAGTGCTTCAAGCTTATCCTACTTCATACTAACAGTACTTTAAGCTTATCCTACTTCATACTAAGTTCAGTGCTCTAAGCTTATCCTACTTCATACTAACAGTACTTCAAGCTTATCCTACTTCATACTAACAGTACTTCAAGCTTATCCTACTTCATACTAACATAGCTTCAAGCTTATCCTACTTCATACTAACATTGCTTCAAGCTTATCCTACTTCATACTAACAGTGCTTCAAGCTTATCCTACTTCATACTAACAGTGCTTCAAGCTTATCCTACTTCATACTAACAGTGCTTCAAGCTTTGAAATTTGTGTAGCAATTTACGATAATTTTGGGAATAAATTTGATATTTTGATTTAGCAGCAGCTAAACAATTAATATTATAACTCAATGAAGTTATGACTGGATTACTTAACAGTTCTGCAATGCATGAAGATTTTTATTTTTAAATGTTTTATTCATACTATCGCTCTTTAAATTGCGATTAAGTTCTGCAGGGGCATAAATCTACTTACAGAATTTTATTGTTTACGGTGCAATGTTATTGTTACTGTGAGGGGTTTTACTTATTACTATTTAAAGCATGTTTTATTGTGATTTATTGATAATGCTTGTGATGTTGATGTGTTTGAGTATTACTCTCTCCCGATATTATGTATATAATACCATTATCCTGACATGTGTGAATATAATAATAACATAATAAGCGGCGATCGTATTAGCTATAAGTAAATTCACATGCCATTGATTTAATCAAGCATTGAAAATGCAATATGAAAATTGTAAATGCATTATAATCACGTTTAAACTTTTAAGAGAGTTTGGTATCGTGCTTTGACAGTGTGACATTGGTATCGCAAGGTTACCCGTTATCTCAACAGCAGGAACATTTTAGAGATTTTATTTCAATCAGATGTAAAATATCGATTTTATTTAATTCCATTACGTAATACATTTATTAAATCCAATATTTGATCACTGCAATGATTTTAATGATTACTTTATACCATAGGATAATGAAGACGTATGACGTTGAGGAAAGAAGACTTATTGTTGTACCTGCAAATGAACATGAAGCTAACAATGCAGTTAAGAAATACATCCAGAAAGCGAATATCACTGTGGTCGGGTTTGACTGTGAATGGAATTCTAGTAACATGCTTGAGCAAAATTTTGATGTAGCTGTGATACAAATTTCAACCGATGAATATGTTATCTTGTTCCTGACTACTACATTTGAATGTCCGAACACTTTACCAAAGAGCTTACGTGATGTATTACTTGACAGAGATATCGTCAAAGTTGGAGTTGGAATTGAGAAGGACATAGAACGCTTGGGGAGTCAATTTTATAACAGCATCAGCAATGATGGTAGAAATACGTCATGTTGTAGGGAATGGCTGGATCTTCGATGCCTTTTAGTAACGAGAATATTTTATGGAGAGTTTCTGCTGTATGAGTATCACAAAAATAAATTCAAAATAAAACACATGATGCTCGAAGAAGCGGATGAAAAGCGTGCTAGTTTTATGCCAAAGTTAGGATTAGAGACCCTGGTTATGAACTGCTTAAGAAAGAAATTAGAGAAACCTCAGTCCATTCGTTTTAATAGCAACTGGGAGCTAAAATCTTTATCTGAAGATCAAAAGTTATATGCTGCTGCTGATGCATCTGCTTCACTCGAAGTATTCCATGCTTTAAATATGTTAAATGACAGCTGGTATTGTTGTCCGAATTTACTACCAGGGGTTTTTATAACTCATGCAGAATTTCCTGAACATCGTCTTCGTCAATTTGAAAGTTGGGATCCTGTTATCGAAGTAAAGTATGATCATACACGGATAAGAATGTTTTGCCTCAATATAATCGACATACGGGATCCTTCGCTCAATTTACGTAAATACTTTGGACGCTACTTCAAAAATAGGGTATTCCTACGGTTAGGGGGTATGATGCTCAATACACCGCTGTTGCCTAGCGGTTTTAGAACAATTTCAAACGATGAATTTGAGCGAGTTCTTGATATGATTCCTCATAAGAAAAGTACCCTTGCACGAGTTTTTGAATGGTTGATAGATACTTTTTTAAAGGTTTTGAGCTTTTTTGCTGTGGTTTTTTGTTTATTGTTGGTGGTCTCATATCTTGGATATTTTAAACTACCAATTATCAAAAAAGGAGTGGCTCGTGGCAAGACTACAAGACTATAATTTGTAATGATTTATAACGTTTTGATTCCAGGTGCACATTCAAATTAATGACCTATGATGTAATTGGTGTACGATATATGAATTGATTCATTTTGATAAATTGATAATTAATTTTCAGAACATAATGTTTTTACACGTTTATATATATATAATATGCCTCAATTTCTATGTTAAATTTTATGTAACTATTCATGTTGATTTGATTTTATTATTGCGATCCTTATTTCCTTTATGGTATTTCATATAGTCATAACTAGAATAGTAAAAGGGAGGATTTAAAACGATTCTCAATTAATTGTTGTAATTGAATGATAAAACTGTGATTTCACCTGATAATTCAAATATTTGATTAATCCAGTGATTAATGATTACTTTATACCATAGGATAATGAAGAAGTATGACGTTGAAGAAAGAAGACTTATTGTTGTACCTGCAAATGAACATGAAGCTAACAATGCTGTTAAGAAATACATCCAGAAAGAGAATGTCACTGTGGTCGGGTTTGACTGTGAATGGAATTCTAGTAACATGTTTGAGCAACATTTTGATGTAGCTGTGATACAAATTTCAACCGATGAATGTGTTATCTTGTTCCTGACTAATACATTTGAGTGTCCGAACTCTTTACCATATAGTTTACGTGATGTATTACTTAACAGAGATATCATCAAGGTTGGAGTCGATATTGAGAAGGACATAGAGCGATTGACGAGTCAGTTTTATGACAGTGCCATCTTTATTGGTAGAAATGCAATATATTTTCGTGGATGGTTGGATCTTCGCTGCCTATTGGTTACGAAAATGTTTTATGGACAGTTTCTGTTGGAACCATGCTATGAAAATTATTGGAGAGGTTCGCCAAAGAAAGGCGATGAAAAGCGTACTGGCTTTATGCCAAAGTTAGGATTAGAAACACTAGCTATGAACTGCTTGAGAAAAAAATTGGAGAAACCTCAGTCCATTCGTTTTAATAGCAACTGGGAGCTAAATATTTTATCTGAAAATCAAAAGTTATATGCTGCTGCTGATGCATCTGCTTCACTTGAAGTATTCTATGCTTTAAATATGTTAAATGACAGATGGCATACTAAAAATGTGTTCCAAAAGATTTTTATAATTCATAAGGAATTACCCAAGCATTTCCTTTATCCGAATACAAATTGGGAGTCTGCTGTTGAAGTCAAGTATGATCATACACGGATAAGAATATTTTGCTTGGACATAATCAGCTTATGGGACCCTTCGGTCGATTTAAGTGCATGCTTTGGTCGTTACTTTAATGGTAGAGTGGTATTCTGTGATAATATTACTCGACTTGCCGATGGTGAATTTGAGAAAGTCCTCGATATGATCCCTTGCAAAAAAAGTTATTTTTTACGAGTTAAAGAGGCTCTATCTTTCTTCATTTTCAGTCAGTTGATACCTTATTTTTCGTCACTGCATGATGCTATGATAACTATTTCGAAATTTGTTGTTACTGTCCTCCTATCAATTATTCTTATTTTCATACTGGTATTATATGTTGAAAATCATGAACGATTGATGAATAAATTGATGAATAAATTGAGTGTTGAATAAATTTCAGTTTTCATTGATTTAATGTTTTGTTACAAACTTTTGATCGTGCAATTTAATAGCCGATCTTTGGTTTAACACCCTACGCGCGTGGGGTGGACTCCTGGGGTGGACTTTTATTCCGCGCGTATTTTGTAGCCTGTTCAACTTGACGTTTTGATTCGTTACTATCTCAATGTCACAGATACACGGAATGTGAGGTGATCATCTTAAAGAGAAACGTCTCAGCTTTCACCTGGTGTAAAGTTTATCTTTGTACTCAAAATATAGCTCGCCCAGTGTGCAATAGAAGTTGACAATACAATAACCACGTCTGCGACCGGTCGCTAGATACCGGAGTGTTGCACAAAATTGGGTCCCTAAATTAAAATTCTATGACACAGTTACCATGCAGAAATGTCTGGAGTAACATTTGGTGAAAATTTTAAGGGTCTACTGTAAATATTGCAAAAGTTATTGAAAACAAACTGGCTTAATCAGAAGTTTTTGGGAAAATTTCAAATTTTGTACGTAGTGGGGTCTACAGGGGTGGACTCTTGCGGCGCGCATCTGATGGAGTGGCTTTTTCAACAGCAGTCAGTACGGCCAATATCAGAGCACAAATTATTGTGAGTAAGACCTTAATGATCAGCTATGAACCCCTCACTAGAGTAGTAACCGTATCTAAAAACAAGGAAATGTTATTCCGTCAAAGCTCAAATTTTTTACTCTTCTCAGTGCAGTTAGTGTTACTATGAATGTATTAGCTAAGTATCGTTGATCGTAGCTGCATTACACAGTAGAAAGTAACCAAGGAAGACTGCTGATTAACGAAGCAATTTCAACGTGAACAGTTCCAAAATACATAATCATGGCGACGATAGTTCAACTTGAACCTTTATAGTTTTTACAGTCTAAAATCACAATAAAATCACGTGAACTGCAAATCACAAAATCAAATCACTCAAATCTGATAGTCCCGTTACAGTACGCTTTCGTGACAACCTCAACGCTTAAAAAATAAATATTATCCAGTCTTGTGACCACCGATGGCCCTAACTCTCCCTTGTCCGCGAGGAGCATCGTTGCGACCATGGGGTTTCAGTTCTTTGTTCTTCCCACTCGGCTTCGATAGATCGAATTGGCTGGAAGTCAATCTATCAGAAAGACCTTTGTCGATCTCAGGGGCGTGGTAAATTGTGGATGTCGGAGTATAAAGCTTCCTGAAAAGATTGAGACATTCACTCGGTCTGTTGTAAATATCAAATAGTCCTTGTAGGCAGAGATTTAACTTATGTTGGGTTTGATAACTAGAGAAGGCGATTTGATATTCATTGATAGTATAAGCATATAAGCATAAGTGATAAGTTTATATACCCTTTTTATGGTACCTCGAGGCTCGATATCTGTATTCAGTAATCATCACTCAAAATCTACTTATTAAATTTATTATCTAAACAAGTTAATGTATTACCGTCCTAGAGAGGTTTCCTGAGAATTTGAAGTCTCTGTAGGTTGCTGGCATGTCTACTAAGCTCTTCGATTGAGGAGTTTTGGACCCCTCGGCGGTCCAAATGATTTATAATGCTGTGGGCATTTTCAACATCTATCGAGGTAAACGCCCTCGCAGCATAACCTGTAGAGAATGAACATGTCATCAATGTGAAGTTCAATGATAAAAATCAGAGTGGCCGATTTCAACGGGCAGAATTCTAATATCATGGCCATGGGGAATGGCCATGGGGAATGGACTATTTTTGTCGATTTTGCAAACCAAACTGGCAAACTGGCAAACGATTGTTGATTTTCGTCACTAGTCTAAAATGAATGCAAACGTTCGGCCGAACATTTACATGATTAGAAACTTACCGGTTTCTTTCGTTATTATGTACAGACATGGCCGGGCTTGGGTTCCGCATACGATATCTTCTATCAGATTAAAGTTGAACCCACACTTTGTACTGCTCGTGGGAGGAGGAAAGCAAACGGAGACCTTTTCCATGAGCATCTCGTGTAGTACCATCATCATGTCGATTCTGATATCAGCTGCAAAATTCGTCTATTACTAAATGCTAGCTTTTCGAACTTCGTATCTTGGAAATAACAACTTCTATGAAAGAACACACACACACACACACACACACACACACACACACACACACACACACACACACACACACACACACACACACACACACACACACACACACACACACACACACACACACACACACACACACACACACACACACACACACACACACACACACACACACACACACACACACACACACACACACACACACACACACACACACACACACACACACACACACACACACACACACACACACACACACACACACACACACACACACACACACACACACACACACACACACACACACACACACACACACACACACACACACACACACACACACACACACACACACACACACACACACACACACACACACACACACACACCCACAAACACATACAGACATAGACACACACACACAGAGACACAGACATACAGGCATACAGGCATAAACACAGACACAGACGGACACACAGACAGACAGACACAGTTACACACAGACAAGGACACACAGACACACGCCCACAAACACATACAGACATAGACACACAGACACAGGCATAAACACAGACACACACAGACACAGACGGACACACAGACAGACACAGTACACACAGACACACACAGACACACACACATAAACACACATAGTTCACTTCAGTGCACTACATTACAATTACAGACACACGCAGTACAATCAGAGACACACACACGATACAAAGACAGACACAGACACAAACACACAGAGTACACTTCAGTACAATCACAGACGCAGGCACAAAGACATATACAAGAAGAGCAGATTGAAGTACCTTCATTTGCAGATGTTGACGCATTGATCTGTGGGATATGTTCTTCAGTCTGTAACTGATCATCTGCTAGAACTGTCTCATCTGGATCAACCGGAGGAGTATCTTCCGGCAGGAGTCTGAGTGGGTCTATCGGGACAGCCATGGATCGCTCTCCGTACCTTGCTGAAATAAAGACAAAGGTCAACGACGGATGTCGCATGTTAGTCCTGTAACTAAATGTAATCCAAAATAGTGAATAAATAATTTTTACATCTGAACGATTGTATGTCTGAATGGTGATTTTTAATCAATGAACAAAAGTTCAGGATTTTACCTTCTGTTAAGCTGTTAGCAATGACTCTAGCACCCTCTCCCTACAAAACGACCATATCTCGGGCTGAAGCTTTAAACCGTCTTGCCTCAGCAGCCATCTAGCACAGTCGACCTGTCCTGTTAATTGTGTGATCATCAAGTTACCAAATTTAATCCTTCAATATTCAAATAATTGATTATCAGACAAAACAGAGTTTAGAGCTCGACGTATGCTTCAGGGTTTCACACTGTGCTGTAATCAAATGCATGACTAAAACCTCTTGCTACTATTACCAATGTTAGATAAACCCATATTGTTAAGGCGGTCAAATGATTTACCTGAGTTGATCGCGTCCATGAAAGGGTTAAACTGCGTTCTGTCCAGCTTGTTAATGTCCGTTCCAGCAGCCAGCAGTGCCTCCGCCTCCGTCACTCTCCCTGCTTTGCATGGCCAGTGAAGCGTAGAGCTCCCCTCTAAGCTCTTTGACGATCCTACGAAGGATCCAGATTCCCTTCTTTTCTTTTGAGATTGCTTCAATTCTTCCTGGAGTATGCGGATTACCATTTATATACTTCCATACAGGGCGCGTGAACAATCAGCAATGAATTATCAATTAATCAATCTAGTTTTTGAGTAGAAAGTCCACAGATTGTGATACATTGGATTTGATATTGGAAAAGACATAGCTTACCAAATACCTTTTCATGTGCTTTTTGGAGGACAGGGATGACTTATTCCTGCGTGCCATTACACCATAACTATCTGCTGTAACAGCAAAAATTAGAATTATGTCGGACATAATTCTAAAAAATTGGAACATCGTAGTTAATCAGTGTGGTGCTAACAACAGAGAGCGATTTGAACGGTAGGCAATTTCATAAATTCCATTAACGCGATATAAGTCCATGATTGGAACAGGCTAAAATCTACTATGTAGCATTGATAACTGGCTATATCGCTGCATTAAACGATAAAAGTATTGCTAACTATGGATATTCTAAGTGATCTAGGCAGAGGGGAACCGGCACAGCCAGATTGCGTTGTCTTCAGTGACTAAGTTTCACGATAGTAAAATTGACCTTATATATTTTTAAAAAGGATGCACAGTTCAAGCAATAAATCGATCAGCTGCTCATATGATATTTGCATTTAAAGGAGGGCCCAGTGCAGTGACAAGTAAGTCTGTTAAGGCAACATTTAGTTCTGAGATTAGCTGAGTCTTGACAAAGATAAGTTGAGTTTCGAGAAAGTGCACACGGATAAAGTTATCAAGTGAAAATGATAAGACTAAGTTAGGGTCCAGTCAACAGAATGGCAGCTGTAACAGAAACAGTTCATTGGATAGGGGAGTAGGGGATTATGACGGAGTGAAGTTTATATAGCAGGGCAAACAAAAAACAACTGACAGCACTGAGCAAGTGAACTGGAAAATTGAGGAAGGGAAATAACTGTGGTTGTCAGCCCTTTCCGTAGCAATCAGGATTTCCCACGAGATCGATCAGGCAATCAGGATTTCCCACGAGACTGTTCGATCCGATGCGCGCACTTTTGTCACGTGACGGCCACGTGACGCTCAAATCGTTGTCACGTGGTACAGAAGGGAGGTTCCTAGAGCGTTGATCTCGACAAGAGGGAGTTTCTCACGGTTTATCTTCAATAACTATCGCTATTTTTATAGTAGAGAGTTGAAACTTTCACCAAATGTTTCCCTAGACATTTCTGCATGGTAACTGTGTCATAGAATTTTAATTTAGGGACCCAATTTTGTGCAACACTCCGGTATCTGACGACCGGTCGCAGACGTGGTTATTGTATTGTCAACTTCTATTGCACACTGAGCGAGCTATATTTTGAGTACAAAGATAAACTTTACACCAGGTGAAAGCTGAGACGTTTCTCTTTAAGATGATCACCTCACATTCTGTGTATCTGTGACATTGAGATAGTAACGAATCAAAACGTCAAGTTGAACAGGCTACAAAATACGCGCTGAATAAAAGTCCACCCCAGGAGTCCACCCCACGCGCGTAGGGTGTTTAATTAAACTATATATTATATGTATTTTATAATATTATGCAAATTTTAGTAAAATCTTGGGAGAATGTAATACAGACGCTTTTCGTTTCTATCGTGCAGGGTTTTTATTGTCCCACAGCCCTTAATCTCGCGCTCTCTCACAGTTCAATTCCACTTAGTTGAACCTCTCATTTTTGTATGAAGTCCATTTTACAGTATGCTCAAAATCACCACTTTCCCGCTCTCAGATTTCAGTTATTCATACTTTCATACACGATTTTTCAAGGTTGTATTGTAGCTGAACGACACTAATTATTATATTATATTATGGTTGGTGGGCTAGACAGTGAAACACGCAAATGTAGTGTATACTTCGTTAAATTACATCATTAGCTACAAAGGAATTAAGTTGGTTAGTTTAATTAGTACTAAATATACGAAGATCTAAAATGCCTCAAACAATCGAGAATCAAATAACCTAAATAAAATACACAAGGTAAATGGAAATGAACTACACAAAAATATAGCTTCAAAAATGAAGCTACAAAAAAAAAAGAATTAAAAACTAAGAACCTTATCTTTCAACTTTGCATCTATTTAAACCCAAGCAATTAGTTCTATACTTCTCAATATACCTAAATTCCTCCCTATTTAATCCCCTGGGGTTACATTCTTTCAAAATGGCAAATTTATAGTTGTCAATAGTAAAAATGTCACTGTGATGTTCATAGGCATGAATCGAAAGGGCTGATTTATTACGATCCTCTACTTTAAAACAGGCTCTGTGTCCATTGACACGTTTATGAAAGTTTTGCATTGTTTGCCCGAAATAAGTGTCTTCTACAACTATCTCATAACCTTCTTCCTTTATAAGATTACAAAGCTTACATTGGGCCACATAATTAACATTTTTAGATTTACAATTAAATCTGATAGGAACTACTAGCTTCTGTCCATTAACTACAAATTCTTCCCCTGCCCTACACATATGCCTGCATGTTCGGCATCTTGGTGCATTGCATTTCTGAGTCCACTCTGAATTATTTTCTGCCGGTGTTCTGCAGATAGCACTGTTTCTCAGTACTCTGTTACCAATCGAGCAGCGATAATTATATATTATTATTATTATATATATATATTTGAGACATTCAGTGAAACAGTAAAACACGAAATTCACATTAAGCTATCGATTGTGTAATCTTTACATGTCTCATTCTGAAAGCAAGTTTATTAAAATAACTGTTCTATGAAGTAAATTAAAAACATGACAAAAATAGATCAATACTGAGATGGGAAATTTGTGAGTAAGTCTCATTCAATCATAAGATATAAACAAAAGATGCAGAGGTGAAAGTAAACAACAAAATGCAAGTGTCTGTGGAAAGATTAATATTAAAGCATATCATATAAAGGTCAATTTTTTATTTCATTAAGAGCACTACGTTTATTAAGTCCTCCAAAATCACTGAGGGTCATAAGCTGGTTTTGCCAAAATGATTCTCTTTCTTTAGCAACCCTACTTCTATCTTCTAAGGTTAAACATTTTATAAAATCTAGCTTTTCAAAAACCCATATCCAAAAACCCGCATTCTCGCATTCTAAGAATGTAGGAAATTTTTAAAAGTAGGAAATTTTTGACAAAAAGTAGGAAATTCGAGAGCCAACTCTGAGAATTTTCGATAATATTTCAGTAGGAATTTAAGTGAAAGAGCAGACTAAAAGTTGCTGGACCGTTATTGTAACTAGCAGGAACCCGTCTAACCCTAAAGTGGTGTCAAGACTCGAGAGACTAAAATAATTATTACCTATTTAATTCGCGTTTTTGACACCACTTGAGAGTCCAAATTTTGGGCACTAAAATTATTATTCCTTGGCCAATTTTTTTTTTTTTGGCCAGTTTTTGCGGAAAGTCGCGTTAAAGTTGATGCCGTGGTGTCAGTAAAATGGCACGGATATATACACATATATATATCGTCTCGCTTTATATATAGTAAGATGTCCTCAGTCAGGGATCCACTGATCCAGTCTATCAAATTTCGTTTCACAGACCAAAGTTTGTTCTTTTGTTCCTATTAGCTACAAAATCTGTGCATCAAGTAACCACTAACCAGATGCTAATTATTGGGGCATTTTCGCGTACACGACATAAATAGTTGTCATTATTACTTTATTAACATTTTACTATCTACTATCTAGTCTATGAAACGGGCTTGAAAGCAGAAAGTGATAGTAGTAGATGAGAAAACATTTTTGCCAAAATTATAAACTCTTGATACTTCATGCTGTCTCCTATTTCGTGCTTTAGTTAAGCCAAGTGTTTAGGGATTCTAGAATCCAGACAATTTATCCCAATAAAAATTGAAATCAGAAAATAGTATGCTAAAATCGTTCTCCATTGTCAGATTTGTTCCAGGAGGCCAAATCTAGTTAAAATTTCCAAAATTTTCGGGAGCTTCGCCCCCAAAAGTAACCTAGGATTATCTATTAAAAAGCATTCCGGGCCAGGCACGTAGACAGGGGGGGGGGGCTAGGGGGGCGGCAGCCCCCCCCCCCGGAAAAAATCGAACCCCAGAAAAAAGATAAGCCCCTAGTCCCCATGGTCGCCTGGTAACTGGGCTGTGTTTATGACTGCAGTCAGTCAAAGATTTGAACTGTGGATTAGTAAATATATGTCATTAAATCCAAGCAAACATTCTAGAAGACTTCTATAAATAGTCAATAGTGTCCCCTAGACCGTAGGAAATGTAAAAATCTTAAGACGATGAGGCCTGAGTAAGTCGTAAATTCTGATTGGAGAATGCAGATTGCTGTTGTGAAGTTACCAAATTTACGTGAGTACTTGATTCTTTTCAATCCCAGTTTATTGCTGTCCTACAAATTTCTTTAATGCCAAATGTCGTCTAAAACACCCTGTTTCGCAAAAATTTTTCGGGGGGCTGCGCCCCCCTAGCCCCCGCCAATGGGGCTCCGCCTCTGGACCCCGCTGGGGGCTGCGCCCCCAGACCCCTGCCACAGCTTGCGCGCTTCGCTCGCTGTACTTTGTTTGTTAAATCGGGGTACAAACAAATATTTAAGGTGAAAAATGCTTCAATTTTTTAGGGGCGCCAAGAAAATTGAAGAATTATTGTGGGAGCTTCAGCTGGGCGCCAAATGATAACGTTACGCCATCAGGCACGTAGCCAGGGGGGCTAGGGGGGGGCTGCATGCGAGCGAAGCGAGCGGGCCACAGAAAACGAAAAAATTGAGAATGTAGGAAATTGAAATTTTTTTGGATATGGGTAATCAAAAATAATAACCTCTATCTGATCGGATAACTCATTGTCAAACGTTTTTAAGGGCTCTTTGGTAAGATTATGGAACTGGTTATCGTTAAAATGACAAGAAATTTCACAACTCCTAACCGCTTTCCTAATATGTGATTTGTGGTTCTGCCATCTGGTCTTAAAATTGTTAACTGTGCTTCCTACTGAAGCACGTCTGCAGACTTTATCCCTTACTAGATAGCACACCCCTACTGTGTTGCAGTCTAGTTGTCCAATGATGTTAACAGTGTACCCCGAGTGGTAGCTCTGAGCTGTTTTTGATTCACAAATATACATTCTACAGGCTTTACATCTGGAGTTACAATGATAACATCCCCCCTCTTCTATACTAGTAGGCAGAGCCACATTTTCAGTGTTAGAGTTTAAAGCTATAACATTACTATCTTCATGATACTTACGATCTTCTGAAAGTTTACTCGGAACTAAAGTTTCTTTGATAGTTTTATTACCACGATATGAAACAAATACTTTACTAGGCTGGATCACAGACTTTAAAAGGGGGTCTAGGCCAAGGATAAATTTATTCTTGTTAACTATTTTACCAATTGGAGGTAAGTTAGGGTCAAAATCACAAACTAAAGGAAAACATCTTTCACTCTTCTTACTATTAGAGCTTGTAAGGTTTTTTGAAATCAGATCATCCCGTTTAAGTAACTCAACTTTCTCAAAGGATTTATGGATAAGATCTTTATTGTAATTCCTATCTTCTAGATATTCACTAAATTCAATTTTACATTTCAAATACTCTTCTTCCTCTGAACAGTTTTTGAACACTCGATGTGCTACTCCATATGGAATATTCTCTGCTATGTGTGTAGGGTGGCAGGATTGTGGGAGTAAATAGCTATGGGCATCACTAGGTTTGCAGTACGTCCTAGTTTCTAGCTTGCAATTTTTCGAGTAAATAAACAGGTCTAGAAATTCAGTCCCCTCTGTAGAAGGTGTCGACATTGTAAACTTGAGGTTTGGATGGTATTGATTGAGCCAAAGTAGGAACTGGTCTAGCTTCTCCAGTGACTCAGTCCAGGTGATGTATATGTCGTCACGGTATCTGCCATATATATAAATTATATAATAATATATGATTTAATGATATTATGTCTTTTGCTGCATCAAAAATTTTTCAGTGATGAATCTATATGACGTTGAAGAAAGTCGAGCCATAATAATTCCCAGAGACGTAACAGAAGCCAATTCCGCTGTAAAAAAGTACATCATTGACAAAGAAGCACCTGTAATAGGACTAGATTGTGAATGGAAGAGCAGATTTGCTAGTTGTCCTGTAGCATTGATCCAAATTGCTACGGAAGAACAATCAATCTTGTTTCAAATATGTAGGTTTGAAAGCAAACATAGGCTCCCCAAACTGTTATCTTCAATCCTTCTGGATGAAAGAATTGCTAAGGTTGGAGTTGGTATTAAGGAAGATGTTAGAAGAATTCTACTTCAGTTTCAAATTACTGTTAGGGGCTGGTTAGATTTGAGATGCCTTGCTGTTCGAAAAGACTTCTTCTCGTTATTTTTGGTTCAACAATTTCAAAACTTCGAATTAAAATTGTCACAGGATGCTCCTCTTACCGACTCAATTGTTAAGGGTAGACGAAGCAGTTTCATGCCGAAGTTAGGCCTTGAAAAGTTGGTTGCAGATATTTTGCATCGAAGCCTGCCTAAGCTATTTAACATACAAGTGTTAGGTAATTGGGAAGCATTTGAACTATCCCAGGATATGAAGATTTATGCTGCAGCAGATGCTGCTGCTTCATTAGACATATTCCTTGGGCTAGATGAAGCCAGACATTGTACTTTGGTGCATACCAATTACAATCTCAGATGGCTTTCAGTTCCTTCAAACGACCTTACTTGGAGATTGGTTATTGAAATGCCTTATATTGACGGAGATGTCCGGCAATCATGTCTTGACATTATCTCCCAGAATGTTCTGCCTCAGTGGAGACCAATTTTAACTGATCATTACAGACGTTCTCCTAGTAAGAAGGTTAAAAGGTCCAACAAATCTCACGACCGCATTTCACCTAGTCCCCTTGAAAAAGCTTTGAATAACCAAATTCCAAATTATTCACAAGATTCACAACTTCACAAGGAAGCTAATTATAGTACTCACTCAGGTCCACCAGACCATCATTTACAGCTCGCAAAGACCATGCAGCCAGGGTTCCTCCAAGACGTTAGCTTTGTTCCCCACAACTACCAGCAAGATTCCCCCAGATATTTACAACCGCCACCATCAAGTGTTATAATTAACCTAAACTACAGACCTCCTTGTCACAAAAAGGTTAAAATGTCTCACAAACTTAGCACAGCCCGATCACGTAACGTTGCTCTGACTAGAACGATTTATATCGATTCACATGATGCACACCTTCACAAGGAAGCTAATGGTTCTCACCCTGGTTCGTCAGACCCTCACTTACAATTGAGAGGGCCAGTCGAGATTATGCAGCCAAATTTATACCAAGATGTAAGCTTTGTTCCCCACAGTTACCAGCAACCGTACCCTACATTTGGACTACCACCTCCACCACCAGGCATTCCTATGAGCCAATACCACCGAGACAATGTCATGTTCCATCCCCAGTTCGGATTGCCAGGACTCCCTCAACCTCGATTTCTAGTTCAGATGCCGCCAGAGATTACCTTCACTCCTCATTCATACACTTAAAACACTAGTTCATGGACCAGGTGCAGGAAAGTGCACCAGATTGGGTATACTTTCTATGGTTCAGGAAGAAAATACCAAGGAATCCTCACATTGATTGTTCTCACCGAAATTCTACAACTCTAAGTTCGTCTCAATTTTATCTCATTCTGAGGACCAATCATTACTTTCGTTTTCTGTCACCGGGTAAAAGGGATTTTTGGTCATTTCATTCTGTGTCAAATTTATGATAGAACTTTGTTTTTTAACTGTATGTACTGTATAATGTATAATGTACTAGAAACCCGCCGCTAGTCGAAAGCTTTGTTCGAGGAAATTTTAAGCATCAGTTATGTTTTAATTTCTCTTCATCATATAGCCCCAAAACGATATTTTTTACTGCATCAAAAAATTTCAATCACAACCAAAGTTATAAATATATATAGGTATATAGCGTCATGAGGGTAAATGTGAGCTAGTTGTGAAATTCTGATGTTTCAATCGAGAATGACAGTCAATTGAATTATTGCCAGGCAATTAAAATGTTTAACTGCGCAAAGTTATTTGCGTAATTAGAAAACAACAATATTTTTGTTGATTGTGTGTGCGCAGTGTCATGTCAGCATTGTGTGTAGCTCTAGCGAATTTAGTATCGAAAAAAAAGTATCGATACTTTTTACTGCATCAAAATATTGCAATCACAAACAAAGTTATAAGAAGTCATAGCGTGAGCGTAAATGTGAGCTAGTTTTGAAATTATGACGTATATATCATACAGCATAACAACGCGCGTTGTTAATCTGTGGTTGCTCGCGCACGTGCATTTTTATCGTTGCTACGCAACAGCGCAGTAAACCTTTGCTTAAATAACGCCATTATTCTAACGATTATTTAACCTCACTTCCGACGTTAATTATAAAAAATCTAAAGCCTAAATCAAAATTCTAAGAATGCTATAGCCTATTCCTATCCTTTTTCTACAACCCTGCTAAAAATGGCGAGGTTTCAACTCCATTTGCGAGCTGGGTTTGGCATCACCAGAGGGTCATTTTGAGGTCGATTTTCGGTGTTTTTTCTTCTATGTCCCCGTTGCCGGGGAAATTTCGTCAAGTTTAAAATATAATATAGATAAGGTATAATGTATAATGTATAATGTATAATGTATAGTGTATATAAACATAGTTTGCAAAATTTTATTTATTCGCAGTGATGCACTATTACCATTCGTTTTTTGATTTCTGATGTATGATTTTTATGATTTTCTGTCATTTCTAGTTTTGTTTTTCAGTCAAAAGGTCAAAGGTCCTATTATCTGACGTTACTTGAGGGACTTACTCTGGTATAAAAAGATTTTAATTATTGTTTTGAAATTGTACATAGCATTACAAAATTATATTGTTACGGTTTGTGACCATCCGAGTCTATTTATTCAAGTTCTTGTAAAAACTTCTTGCATGCTTCACTGAAAATTGTATCCAATACGTACCAATTTCAATCCCTATTTTGATTTAGATCATTTCGACAGCTAACAAATTAGCTAAAAGAGTTCTTTCGCCCTCTGTCAGCTGTAATATTCAGGGTGCCGAAACATTTGGTTTTTTAATCTATTGCATACTTTTCAGGAATGAATCTGTATGATGTTGAAGATAGTCGATCTATTATAATCCCCAGAAATAACGACGAAGCAAATGCTGCTGTGCAAAGATACATCATTGATAAAGATAGCAACGTGTTAGGACTGGATTGTGAATGGAAGACCGGGCGTGCTAGGTGTCTTGTAGCATTGATCCAAATTGCGACTGAAAAACACGTACTTTTGTTTCAAGTATGTAGGTTTGAAAACGAACGTGTCCTTCCTCTACAATTGGCTAAAATACTGCGAGACAAAAGTATTGTGAAAGTTGGAGTGAACATTCAAGAAGATATCAGACGGATCCGTCTCAAATTTGGAGAGTCTGTCCTAAGCTGGGTAGATTTGAGATGTTTTGCAATTGAAAATATGCTGCTAAGTGAAAATCTGCTTCTGCAACTGGAGGAATACGAATTAAAACAGACTAAAAACCTTACATCTTCTGTTGATGTCAAGGCCAAGCGTGTAAATTTCATGCCAAAACTAGGGCTTGAAACACTAGTTGGAAGTTGTTTGGGTAAAGCCCTGCCAAAATCCTTCGCTTCACAAGTGTTGGGCGAATGGGAGGCCTGTGAACTAACTCAAGAACTAAAGTTGTATGCTGCAGCAGATGCTGCGTCGTCACTAGACATATTTTATGCACTAGATGTCAAGATAGGTCACACTCCTAAAACTACAAAGGACTCTAAGTCTTGGTTATCAGTTCTTGAAAAGCCCTATAATCATAAACAAATCAGATTATGTTGCCTTGACATGATACATGAGATAGCTCCAAGTTGGATTCAACCTATTTTACCTGACTACTATGGACGTTCATACAGCAAAAGATCTAATATCGCCTTGAAATGCACTCTAAAGCAAGAAGAAAATCTTGTTGTTGAAGTATCAAGTGCAACTAGTGGAGACGATGACACTTTTGTTGAGGAGGGAATGTTGTTATGTATAATCAGACAATTGATTGAATTGTTTGAATTCGTTATTAGAACCTGTCATATCATGGTGCTTGCTTATATTTTTATTCTGATTGTTATCGGTACAATTACTCTCAAATTAATGTTTTGATCATGTAAGAAACTGCGAGAAATAAGATGATAGTTTTAAAGTTGTTTTTCAGTTGTAATTTTAAAGTTTTCTTTTGTTATTTATGTTGTTGATACTGCAGTCACTTTTTTAAAATTTCAATTTGTTGATAATTTACTTTTAACTGCTTTTTAAACTTTTTTGTTTACTTATCAATTGTGCCTACCATTATTTTTATATTTAATTCTAATTTTACGAATGTAAATTTCATAATGCTGGCTTATTATGGTGGGAATGTTTTACACTTTTAATTAGGCTATAATTGAGTGCCTATTTGGGTTAATTCTGTTTAAGTTCGGTTTATTTGTTTCAGGGTTTAATCAAACTTATTTCTGTTTATGTTTTATTGAATATTGATTATTCATGCACATGCAAACTAAGTAGCGTGTTACTTCGATGTACTTAAGTTAAAACAGACATAAGTATCAAAATTATAATTTGTACGAATTTTGAATCATGAAATGCATCAACGTTTTTATAATATGAATACTTTGCCTAAATCCTGTCTAAACACCACCTCGCATGGTGAGTGTACATGTCGCCAAGCTTTAGAAGTGTTAAAATTATATAATATAATCTAAGAACAAGAAATATTTATGAATTCTGCATCCTATTTTTGACTTTTATTTTTTTGTTCATGACTATTCACTATGTAAATATGTATATTGTATTATGTATAACTTATTCTTTCAGGTATGGGTTTGTATGATGTCGAGGATGGACGGCAGATAATTATTCCGAGGAATAGCTCAGAAGCAAACTTTGCTGCGCAACATTACATAATCGATAAATCTGAAGATGAGCAATATCTAGGGCTTGATTGTGAATGGGTCTCAAATAGATCGGCCGATTATAGTGTAGCAGTTATCCAGATTGCTACAAAAGGACACGTTATCTTGTTCCAGACCTGCAGGTTTGAAAGCGAGAACGTTCTCCCTAGAGTGTTGGCTTGCATTCTAAGGTCTCGAAAGCAAACTAAAGTTGGTGTCAATATTGAAGAAGACGTCAGACGAATTTATCGACAATTTCGGGTAACTGTGAATTACTGGTTAGATTTGCGCTGCCTTGCTGATATGCAGATTTCCAACAGTCCTCTAACTGGACTTATTCTGCGGCAATTTAAGGACTTCGAAGCCGGACTTAAACTTGTTAATGCCAGTAATGCCCCCGATGTAGCGGTAAAGCGTCGCAGTTTCATGCCAAAACTTGGTCTAGAAGCGCTAGTTGAACATTTTCTTCAGTTGACTCTTCCAAAATCAAAATCTTTGCAAGTTTGGGGTGATTGGGAAGCATCTAACTTATCCCGTGAACAGACACTTTATGCTGCTGCAGACGCTGCTGCCTCTCTTGATGTTATTTTGAAAATAATTGAAAATGAAATACAGCAAAATTTGAGGGCTTGTTGGGACATTTTATTAACTGAAAGATATTATTATCACAGACAGATTAGGTTAGATTGCCTCGATCGTGTTGCTAAGTTGGCCCCTGAGATGTGGCAAATCCTACCTGACTACTATGGAAACTCTAATCACAGTAAGGTTGTGGAAAACGTTCAAACTACGTGTAAATGTACAAAAAAGGTTCAAGTCACGACCGAATGTTCAAAGGATGTGAACAATGTCAGACCTCCTGCACCCCCAGAAAAAATTGGGCAAAACATATGTCTAGTTATCTATGAAACCTTGATGGGTATTTTCGTATTTGGTCTTTTAGGGATAGGACTATACAATTTTATTGCTATTATAAAGCATAAAGATTTCACTTTTGGTTTTTGTATAGAAAAACTCGTATTATTTCTGAGAGCGATAACGGACAAAGATTTCATTCTTCATCGTTCTGTTAAAACATTAGAAGAGTTTCTTAAAAGAATAATGTATAATGAAGATTTCACTTTCAATCTCCATATAGATAAATTAGAAGTATTGTTAAGACATTTAGAACAAAAGCTTGAAGTGTTTCACAGTCGACTTTGAAACCACTTATGGTCATTGGACATTGAACCGAACATTTGATATTACTTCCTTTGATAATAACTTTTCATGAAAGATTAAACCATAATAGTATGCAACATTATAATATTATAGTCTTTGCTGAGATTGTTTTATACTATATAATATAGTATGCTTATATATATATAATATGCTTTTTGGTGTTTGTATCTTTAATAATCAAATAAAACGAATTGTTCACAGCTACGAACCACCAGAGAACCTTAACGTTTTTAATGGCCATGTACAGGGTAGGGTGTCTCAAAAAAAAGCCCCAGGTTATTGAACTGCGAAGAAATTGTAAACTCTCTGGATGTATTACAAGT